ATGGAAATTTCTAGAAAAAAAAAAAAAAAAAAACATCAACAAATTCAACCGAATTATTTATTTCCATTTTTGCCTTTTTTTTTGTTTTTTGTGTGTGTGCGACACGATTAAATTACTCACATAATTTACAAATGGTTATGGTTTTTTTTTTTTTACGATGCCCCCCCCTCACCCCCCCTCACCCCCCCAACCAACCAACCAACGAACGAACCTTTCCCTTTCCGCTATAGTTTTTTTTTTTTTTTTTTTCATTTTCGCTACGTCGACATAAACGAAAACAACAAAACGCGCACACGCACACGCACACCTCCGATCCCGAAAAAAAAAAAAAAAGAATTTCCCATCAAAACATTTGATTATTTTTAATAAAGGGAAAAATAGAAAGAGAAAGAGAAAGAGAAAAAGAGAGAGAAAGAAATAACCGTTGAATGAGAATTTTCCATTTTTATACATTAATATAGATGGTTTATAAATGTCAACGTGGCAGACAAATGTGTTGCGGTGGTGGCGGTGGCGATGGTGGAGGTGGTGGTGGTGGTGGTGTTGATGTCGTGGCCCGCGTTGATATTTTTTCCAACATGTAATCAGGGATGTACATACACGAATTTTTCACCTCCTTCACATTTTCTTCTTTTTCTTCTTCTTCTCATTTTCCAGGTGAACACCCGAAACCCCAAAATTTTTATGTTAGTTCCACGACGACGACGACGACCGACTACCTATCGATATCATTCATCTTTCTCTTCGACCTTTGAAAAATGTCCGTTAAAAATCACTAAAACCATCCTGTTGTGTGCGTGTATGATTGGAGAATATTTCCATCCATTAATAAATGGGGGGGAGGGACAACCAAACAACCTCACAAAATCGTAAGAAAAAAAACAATGTCCACCACTAAGAACCCAACAACAACGACAAACACAACAGAAAGAAAAAAAAAAAATTGGTATAATTTTCATCTTGATGTACGACCTTATTTTCATTGGCAAAAATGAATATTTGTCAACGTTCTCGCACACGCAACCTTAATATTATCATATCGTATATCATAAATGCTGCTGCTGCTGTTGCTGCTGTAGTTCCCTGTTTTCTTTTTTTTTTTTCTCTTCTTTTTTTTTAATAAACAACACTTCAACGGTTTATTACGTTTTCTTTCTCTCTTCTTCTTTTATTTTCTTTTTCTTTCTTATACTTTTTTTAATTTATACTTTTTACACGTTTATACAAATGTATATATATATTTATGAAAAAAAATTTCGTGTTTTTCCATTTTTTTTTCCTTTTTTCCTTTTTCAGAAGGCGGGGATTTTCTATATATATATATATATATTTTTTTTTGATTTATTTCAACGATTTTCTTTTCTCTTTTCTTTTTTTCTTTCTTTTTTTTCACCTTTCTCTTTTATTTATATAAAATAAAATTTAGAAAAGTGTGTGAGAGAGAGACAAACGACAAATTTTCACACGCAGAATCTTTTTCGAGACAAATACGATAACAACAACGACAACAAAATCTCCTTTTTTTTTCTTTTTCTTTTACCGGAAGTGAAAAAAAAATATTTCCGAAAATCCATCGATTCGCGACGCGAGTTTTTCCTTTCTCGCGTCACGAGTGCAAGTGCGAGAGAGAGAGAGAGAGAGTGAGAAAATTAAAGTTTTCCTTTTTTTTCTATTATAAAAAAAAAAAAAAAAAATTAAAAAAAAATTAAATTAAATTAAAAAATTATTTGAATAACGCTAAAAAAAAAAAGAAAAAAGATCTTGAAAATTGTAAAATATTTTTTGTAATTAAAATTATAACTGAATTAAAAAAAATCTTAATTTTCTCTTATAGGAAGTGATAAATCAACAATAAAATATTTCTCTCCTCCCCTCCTTCTACTCCCCCTCCACCTCGTTGTCGTCTTCTGCTTTTTATTTTGTTTTTATTTTTTTTTTCCATTATATATAAAATTTGTCGCAAAGAAACAAAAAAAAAAAGAAAAGGAAAAAAAATTTTCGCTCGAATTTTCTGTTTTTTTTTTTTTTTTTTTCCATTCTGCCGACCACCCCGCAATCACCGCCATCTTTTTTCCCCTTCTCCCCCTCCCCCTCCTTGTTCCGAGTGAAATAAATAAATAAAATTAAATTAAGGGTTTCATTTTTACTCTAACGAAAAACAAACGTTCCAGTCGTTAATTCATACAACAACAACGACAACATTTTCATCGTCGTCAATTATTTGTGAATTTTTTTTCTTTCTTTCTTTTTGTTTTCATCTCTCTCTCTCTCTCTCTCTCTCTCTCTCTCTCTCTCTCTCTCTCTCGCCGTTTGTTTCGGACTCGATTTTTTGGTTTCCCTCCCCCCCTTCCAAACCCTTTCGTGATGTTCATCGAACGCGAGCAAACGTTTTCGTCGTAAAACAAAAAAAAAAAAACGATGAAAATTTCAGAAACAAAACCATCGAAAATTTTCCAGATGCGTTTGAGAAGGTGATGAAATAAAAATAAATAAAAAAACAAACCGGAAATGGTTTTCGATCGTTATCATCGCAAAGTCGGAAACACTTTTCGTATAAAAAAAATAAAAAAATAAAAAAATAAAGGAAAACAATATTACGAAGGCTTACGGATATGATTAAACTTTTTTTTTCCCCATCCTTTTCTTTTTCCCCCTCCTTCTCTCTCACTCTCATCTTCGATCATTTTTCACGAGGAAGAAAAAAAAAAAATAACCGAAAACAAAAAAAAAAAAAAAAAAAAAAAAGAAAGAAAAACCCAACCGAGTCGGAAAATCTCGCAGATGATATCAAATAACGTAAATTTATTATTAAGTAAAAAATAAGATCGTAATCATCTTAAGATCAATTCCTTTTTTTTAGAAAATATAATCATAAGATGCCACGTTTTTAACACGGAATGAAAATAGGGATGCTGAGTTTTATTTGAATTTAATGAGTGACTTGGGAACCCGAGTGTCGTCGTCGTCGTCGTCGTCGTCATCTTCGTATTCTTCGTATTCTTCTAAAGTCGTGAGGGAATCAATTCGATATAGGCTTGTATATCCTGTGATCAAGAATAATGTCGAACCATTGTTTAGCCTTATTCTTTTGGGATTATGCTTTCCTCTTTTCGCTTTCTTCTTCTTCTTCTTCTTCGGAACGACCTCTTTTCTCATTTTTTATCAATTTTCTTAATGTTTTTATTTTATCTTTTCTTCTTCTTCTTTTTTTTTTTATTTCGATTCGACGTCTTGAAAATTTCCCTTTTTTTTTTTTTTTTAATCCAACAAAGGAAGATTAAGTGAGAAGAAGAAAAAGAAAAAAAAAAACTCCGCCATTTTCCTTTCCCATTACATTATCTTTTAATGTTCGAGTCACGCTTTTCCTAAGTGACCGCAATTCTTCAATCAGTCAGTCATTCATTCACTGAATCATTCAAAGGCAAAAGGGAAACGTTTTTACTTGAAAACTTTGAAAGAAACTTCAACTTTTCTTTTACTCGTAAAGTTTGAAAAAAAAAAAAAAGATGGAAAATTAAAAGGAAAACGATTTAAGAACGTTTATATAGATAAATAAACCCTCCACTACATAGTGTAAGAATGAAGGGAACAATAGAACAAAGGAAACAATGGAAACAAAAAAAACAAAATAATAAAAAGGAGATAACCGATAAAAATCATTTTAATTGCATAGCAATAAAATCAATGACTGGAGTGAAATTTTTTTTTTTCTTCTTCTCAATTTACCCCGCCCCCATCGTTCTCTCCCTTTTTTCCCCCTCTTCTTCTACTTCTCCTTCTAATAATAATAATAATAATAATAATAATAATAACATTATTAATTTTTTTTTGAAAATGTCAAACATTCAATAAAATTCTATTAAAGGAAAAAATTCTGTTCATTCGAAACTGAATGTCATAATACGAATCGATTATCAGAACCGTGTTAAGGTTATATTAAAAAAAAAAAAAAAAAAAAAAACATTTTACACGACTTTAATGTGAGAGACAAAGAGAGAGGGAGAGAAAGAGAGAAAAAAAAACTTTTCAAACCTAATTCAGAACGTTATTATTATCATCACGTCAACTCTTAATACGAATCCAGACGATATAAAAAAAAAAAAAAAATTAATAAAAAAACTTTTTTTCCTTCTTCCGACCCTGGACTTCAATAACAAATTATAAATGTAATAATAAAAAAAAAAGAAAAACAAATTTATTATCATTATTATTATTATTTTGCTGTTGTTATTAAAAAAAAAAAAAAAAAAGGATAAAATCAAATGTCGCAGCATTTTCCGCTTTTTCGAATTTTTTTTTTTTTTTTTTAATAATAATATTTTTTACGTCGTTCACGGTAAATGCCAAATTTTTCAATTATCGAAAACTTTTTTTTTTATTTATTTTTAATTTGACATTTTAATGATAATCAAATATTCCGTTCGAAACCGTTAATTTAAAAAAAAAAAAAAACGCACGATTTAAATATTTTTTCTCTTTTTTCCCTCCCCCCAAAAAAAACCAACACACCTGATCCTTTAATAATAATAATAATAATAATCGATTCAGATAAGAAAAAATAATTTTTAAAATCTCGAACGTATCCCCTTCCTCCCTCCATTAAAATTATCTCGAATGTTCTTTTCCTCAACAAAAACCGTTCGTTACGAAAAAAAAAAAAAAAACTTATTATCGTTTTCAGATTTCGATTATCATTATCGTAGCGGTTATATTATCCGTTTGTTTGTCTGTTTGTTTGTTTGTTTTGCGAGTGAAGCACACACACACGCAAACAAGGGTGCGAAAAATAAAAAAAAAATAAAATAATAATGATTATTTTTCTTCACTTAAAAAAAAAAAAAAAAAAATGCACCGTTGAAAAAAGGCGGGGAGGGGACGGGGCGGGGGCGGGTGGGGGACGGGAAAACGTAATTCTGGATTTAATAGTTTGAAAACTGAGAGAAAAGCGAAGAATTAGAGAAACACACACACACACAAAAACCTTAAGAAATATAATCGAATTATTTTTTTTTTTCTAAATGGAAGACTCTCATGGCGCAAATCCCCCCGTGCTCCCGCCCCCCTCGTCCCCCCACACCCAAATTGTTGACGATTTTTCTCTTGTATTTACTTGAAAGTTCGTGATCAGAAGAAAAATAATATCTTTTACATTTACCGGAGAAGAAGAAGAAAATATAAAATAAAAATAAAATAAAATAAAAATTATAAGGTTTCAGCACTTATTCGACATTTTTCCTTTCTCTCTCTCTCTCTTTCTCAAATCTATTTTTCCATCGTCGAAAACGTTTATATTTTTATAATAATAATAATAATAATAATAAAGGAAGAACCATCTTCTGTCTTCCTTTTTCTTATACTTTCAACCTTTCGACAAAAAAATTTACAAAATGACAAATCGATATACGACGTATTATTAAAAAATTATAAAACGACGTAATTAATTAATTAATAAAAAAAAAAATTTAATAAATAAGTGACGTGTAAAATTTAAAACTTCTCCCCCATTTCGTCACGACACGAAAGAGAGAGAGAGAGAGAGCACGTAAAAAACAAATGATGATAGTGATAATACCGAAAAAAAAAAAACATTGAGAATTATAATGATGACGGTAATGGCGCAGCATTGTTTGTATTTATGTATTTAAAGCAGTCGTATCTGTTTTTTTATAAAAATTCACTTGAGTTATACGACAAGAAGGGGGAAAAAAAAAAAAAAAATGTTTCGAGCCGTAAAAATATTTAAAACGATAATAAATAATGGGACCGTCGGATCAGGGGGTCAAAAAAAAAAAAATAAACTAAAAAAAAAAAAAAAAAAAAAGAACCGCCCACAACATAAAGCGCATCTGCTGGAAAACTCACGACTATTTTACTTAGTTTTAGAAACCTTTTTACGAGTCGAAAGGTGCTGCCTGTCAGTGGAAAATTTCGTAACTTTTTATTTTCATTCGAACCTTACACTCGTCAACGTCGGAGGAAAAATTTTTCCTCCCCGAAAAGGAGAAGACGAAAAAAAAAAAAAAAAAAAATTTAATAATCGATCCTTGTTAACCCCTCCCCTCACCCCTCCGTTCGTCAAAAAGAAAAATAAAATGTAAACTTTCTTTTCCCCCTCCCATCTCTCTCTTTACCTTTACTCCCCCTCGAAAAAATAAACTTTCAACTCAATTCAATGGACATTTTTTGTAAAAAAAAAAAAAAAAAAAAAGAGGAGGAAAACATAAGAAATTTTCTCTAATTTTAAAAGACTAATAATAATAATATTAATAATAATAAGAAATGGGAAAATAATAATAATGTCAAAAGGTTTTGAAAATGTTTTTTTTTTTTTTTTTTTTTTTTTCATTCATTCAACACAGTCGTCACATAAAAACAAAAGTCCAAAAAAAAAAAAAAAAAAAAAAAAAATGAAAAGAAAAGAAAAGAAAGAAGAAGAAGAAGGATGATGAAAAATAAGATCAAAGCTCAGATTTCTCTCTTCACCTAAGAATAAAAAAAAAAAAAAAAAAAAAAAAAGAGCTCATGGCAAAAAGCTGCAAAAAGGTTTTCATGATTATAATTTGAATTACTAAGAAAAGGGTTGGATGGATGGATAGATGATGATGATGATGATAATGATTATTATTATTATTACTATATAAATTTTCTTTTTGCTAAGAAAAACAAGAAATTTTCTTTTGCAAACTCCTCATCGTATTCATTTATAATGTGAACCCATCATCGGACATGTTTTCCTTTTTCCTTTTTATTTTACAAAAAAAAACGTTATTTTCGCCCACTTTGCTTTCCCCTCCCCATTCCGATGTTCATTTGTTAACGCGAAAAACTATTTTCAAACAAAAAACGTACGTATATATAATAAGAGGAAAATGTTTTTCCTTTTGACCTTAACAAATTCTTTAAATAAATTAATTTTTTTTTTTTAATTTTCTTTGCATTATCATTTACTATTATTATTATTATTATTATTATTGTGGCATTTGTTTTTTTTTTCTATTTTTCACTACTGAAATTTTCTTTAATCATAATTTAAAGGGGGAGGGGAAAACCCTCCTTTTGGTAAATTTATTTAATCACACAAATCTCATTGTAATTAATTTTTAATTATTTCGACGTTGTAACTTTTATTGTTTAATATCATTTAATTTTTTTTTCATTAAATTCTCATACCTGAGTTTAAGGTATAAATTTTTATTATTTATGTTCTTTTGTAAAAAAAAAAAAAAATAATTATGAATCTTGAACATGTTTATGTATTTTCATCATTATGAGTTTTTGGAATTTTATTATTAAATAAATACTTTTTTAATGTTTCGATATGATCATAATGTTTTTAAAATAATTAATGAATGTTAATTGTACGAGTGGCAACAATGTAGACATTTGTCGATTAATTTTTAAAACTATTCGATTAAAGTTAAATAAATTATTATGTACAATATTCCATACTAAATAATTTTTTCTTTCTTCAAGTAATTTTATAACAAATTTTTAATGCAACTAATGATATTTGTTAATAAGTGTAAATCGAATTAAGTTGATCATTGAAAATCTATCATACGATTATTCGATAATGTTTGAAATGGTTTTTAAGTATTCGATTAAACTATTTGGATTTATATTTATATGCAATTTTATACTTTTAGTATTCAAATTATATTGAAAAGTTTATGTATTCTGTTTAATTGTAATTAAATTTAAAAAAATTCAAGCAAAATTTCAAATAAAAGTAAGAAAAATGTGGTTTGTGATTTGTGCGATTTGAAAAATGTTACTCTTTTATCACATCGAACACTTTCACATAATACTTTTAGTTAAGTAACATAAATGTAATAACATAATTGTATAATAAGTACTGTTGATAAATTGTGTGATTATAAGTATAAAAAACATTCATTTCATTGATAATAATAATAATAATAGCATTTTTAAAATGATGGTTATGACAAACATTGCATGTCATAACCAAACATCAATTATGTGTTAAAAAAATAATTTGTACGATTATAAATTTAAAAATAATAGTAATACTCATGAAAAGTTATGATAATTAAATAAATTGAGATGAATAAATAGGCGCATAAATAAAATAAATACGCAATTAGATTTGAAATAAATGAAACATAACCTTACCTGGTAAAATCCGGCATCTTTATCTTTGAAGTATTTAATATTTTGCGTGAACAATCTTTTCGTTTTTGAATCCCAAGCAAATAAAATATTTTCTTTACAATCAATTAAATTCCTTGTTTTCCCATCGGATTTTAATAAATTATCAGAAAGAATTTTAAATAATTTTTCCTGAGAAAAATTTAAACGATCCGTCAACGACATTTTGTTACCACGCTACGAAAAAAAAAAAATTCGTTATAATGCTAGCAAAAAAAGCATAATTCAAACGTATAAACGTATTCGTACACTTTAGCAAAATTGTATTATATTGTACATTTGTAAACGACTTTAAAAAATAATATTAAAAAAATATTAAAATACAATATCTATTTCCAAATGTTTTCTTTTTTTTTATTCATTGATGAGTTTTCAATATTTTTACCGGGATAATAATGGATTTCGAATGTTTTTTCCTTCCCCCACACAACACAAAAAAAAAACGAGCGAAATTTGATTGTTATTTAATAAAAAAAAAAATATTTTTTAACGCATTTTGAATTCGAATACAATATATCGGAAAACGGTTTTTTTTTTTCTCGTTTAAATTTAAAAGTAAAAAAAAAAATAAACTTATTGTCATTGAGAGAAATAATATTTTTCTTTCTTTAAATATAAACGATAGCAAAATTTTAACGATATACAGATTTTTTGATTAACGATTTATTACGTCATCATTACCGCCAAAACCACCGCCTTCTCTTTCTCACCAAATCGTTTCGTACAACAATAATAATAAACCATTTTAAAAAATAAATATGAAAATTTAAAAAACAATGAATCAAAAAAAAAAAAAAGGGAAATCGACCAAAAAAAAAATAAAATAAAATTTCCAATAATTTAATATTCTATTTATATGGTTTATATAGGAAATATAAACATAAATATATCTTTCTTTCTTTTTTAACTCTAAAAAAAAAAAAAAAATATTTCAAATGTTTTTTTTTATTATTATTATTATTATATATTTTATTTAAATGTACATGAACATCCCTTTTTTTTTTTTAAAGATGTAGATATTTGATATTGTCAATTTACATTTATTTTTTGAAGGGTGAAATTTATACATTTTTTCTTTCTAAAACGTTTTTATGTATTTTTTTTATTGGTTTTATTTGATTTTTGTTGTTTTGAATTTGTGGTTTAACAATTTTTCCTCCATTTTTTTTACCTAACGTATTTTTAACATATGCGTCGTATATTCACGTCGTGAATTTTTCTTTTTTCTTTTTTTTTATTGGTGTTGCTTTTGATTTTTGTTTTCTTTTTATGTTATTTATTATTTATTAACGTGTACGATTATTGTGAGACACGATAATTTTTTTTAAATTAAAGAAAAAGATGAGTGAAAGAGTGAAAAGGATTTTTTTAAACGCGAAAAAAGCGTCGATTTTTTAAAAAAATTATTATTATTATTACTATTTTCTCCCCCCCCCCCGCGCTTTTTGGGGGAAAAAAGAGAGGAAATCAGTTATAATGTATTCTGACAAAAAGTTTTCTTTTTTTTGTTGATCGTTTCTGGCAGAAAAGTGAGATTTTCATCAAAAAATAAAAAATAAAGGAAATCAAATTGTTTGGCATCTTTTGTTGCATTGTCAGTTTTTTTTTTTTTCCATTCATATTTTTTTTTTTTTTCATTTCTCATTTAATTTTTTTGTATTTTTCGGATAAAATAAGAAAGTGAATCGACAAAAAAGTTTTTCCTTCCCCCCTTCTTCCCCTTCCCACCCCCTCAAAAGAAATTTTTTTCGGTACAATTTTTTCCTATTTTTTTTTTTTTTTTGGGGGAAAAACTTTTTTTTTTAAACAAACAAACGATCGTTGTTTGTTACAATTTTTTAAACCTTTTTTTGATGATTTAAATTTACTACCCCCACGACTCACACCCTTTCCCCACTTCCCCCGAACCTTTTTAGGGTTTTTTTTTGTTTCACCGAACAAATAAAAAAAAAATTTATTCGAATAATAAAATAAAAAAAAAAAAAAATTAAAAAATAATGACTAAAAAACATTTTTTTATTTTTTTTTTCAACCCCCAGCTGACGATGGCTAGGGGTGATTAGATATCTATTAGCATTAACTAATTCTTTTTTTATTTATTTTACTTTTTTTCGTTATTAAAACAAAAGGAAAGAAAATGAAATAAATGAAAGAAAAATAAATGAATAAAAGGGGTAATAAGAAGAAGGAAAAAAAAATATAAGAAAGGGAGAAACTTAATCGTAAAAATTTTTTTTTTTTTTTTAAAATAAATTTAAACGATTAAAGATCGTTTCGGTTGTTATCACTATTGATAAGAATTTTTATTATCAATCAAAACAAAAGAATTTATTAAATATTATCAGCGATTGAAAATAATAAAAAAAAAAATTTTTTAATTTGTGGCTACCTAAAAATTTATTAAAAATTTTACGTAAGCTAAACATTTGTTTTGGAAAACCAATATGGAAAAATTTTCGCGTTTCCGTTCGCGTTTCTTTTTCGTTGTTTTTCAGTGTTTTTTGATGACGAAACGTTTAGTAAATCGGTTAAGAAGCAGTAGAAAAATAGATGATACAGATGGGAAAGTGTCTTAGTAAATTTTGTTTTTTGGAAAAAAGTAAAATTGTTTCTGTTTTCCAGTCACGATTCAAGAATGATACATCGACCCTAGGCATTCTATTTCTTTGTGTCATTTCTCATCTTAGGCCATGCCAATTTATTTATTGTTCCCGAAAAAAAAAAAAAATATATATATATATATCTATCAACCCGGAGAGAAGAATCCAGGGGTATCCATTTGTAAAAATAATAATAATAATAATAAAAAAGTCAGACGTTTAAATAATAAGAAAACAAACAACGAAAAAGTATGTGACCGTAATTTTATTTTTTTTCTTCTTCATCTTTCGTTTGTTTTTTTTTTCTTCCCCAAATAATAATAATAATAATAATAATATGTTAAGGTTTAATGGATTTAAATCCATTAATCTATTTTTTTTTTTTTTTAATAAATTTTCTTGGATTCAATTCATCGTGTGGAAATATTTAATAATTTTCAAACAATATATCGTAATTATCGTAACATTTCCATTAAGAACCATCGTGAAAAGAAGGAGAGGAAAACTTATTTTAGGATTAGTTTGGAAAAAAAAATTTTTTTTTTTTTTTTCCAGCAGTTAATCAATATTATACGGTAAGGGAAAAACTGGAAAGTTTATTTTTTTCTCACACACACACACGAGCGTTAATGATGAGAGTTTTGGACACCCGAAAAAACGTGATATATTTTATTTTTACTCCAATAATTGTTGACAAGAAAAATATATATAAGTCTGACTAATGGTTTTGATATTTCTATTACCATTCTCTCTATCTCTCTCTCTCTTTTTGTTTTTCCAAAAAAAATATATCTGGAAAATTTTTTTTTTTGTGTGGTCGGTTCCAGCTGCATCATTCAATTTTGTTTTTAGTATCAAACGTCTTCGATTAATATTAATGATAGTTTGTTCATGAGAATAAAAATAAAATTTATTTATTATTTTATGTCGTTTCGTCAAAAACTTGTGTGCGTGTGTGTATATACTCTATGAGATTTTAAAAAAAAAAACGCGGGAAAATTTATTTATTTAAAAAAAATTAAAATCTTATTTTCTATTCCCCCTTCGAGTTTTCTTTCCTTTTTAATTTTTATATCAAAAGAATACAAAGCAAAAAAAAAAAACTTTTTACACAAGTTATAAAAAAAAAAATAATATTAATAATTATAATTAGTCGAATTATTATTTTTTTTTCCTTTTATCATTATAATTATTATTATTTAATTTCGACTTAGTTATTGTAAAAAAAAAAAACAACTTTTAATCTTTTTTTTTTTTTGTTTAAAAGTATTAAACGTTAAAAAGTTTGTCTTTTTTTTGTATTATTAATTAAAAAAATTAAAAATGGAGAGTTCGACGATAATATATCGATAAATTAATTAAAATTAATTACGATAATAATAATAATAATTTGCAATTAATATGAAAAAATTTTTTTTTTGTAGAAATAAACAATAATCTTCTTGTTAAACATTTTAAAGAGTAAAATTTAAAAAAAAGTAAACCGTTGGTACGTAAAAGTATATAAATATTAAATAAAATGTTAATTTCTTAATTAACTAGCGAGAAATAAAACAATTTTTGGCAATGGCGTCCTTTTTAAATAGTTTATGTATATATATAAAATCATCCCGAAAGCGTGTAAAATTTTCCGTTTCTTGGACGTAGCAAGAAAGGAAAGATGGAAGGAAGAAAATTTACGGTTGAAAATGGAAATGTTGAATATAATAAAGAACTGTGTAAAGTCGAAGATTAACAATCTGAGCTTAATTCACACGTAAAACCATTTCAAAGCAAACAAATTAACAAACAACAAGAAAATTGAAGATAAGACGTCCGCGGTTTTTACAAAAATTCAAACATCAAAAGATGAAAACTAGCCATCATCAACGAACGTACAAACAAACAAACAAACAAACACATTCTCTCTCTAAGACATTTCATGCCTTTAGAGTAAATAAACTAAATACAATAAAAGACGAACGAATAAAGGTTTTTTAATACATATATGCCTTCAAGGTTTAAGTTCGTGTAA